TTCAGTGACTGAAGAAAATTTCGAGTTCAACTTTTCAAGTGATCATCCCTTCAAAAAATTTAGACTCATGATTCAGAATCATCTGAAATATGAATATTCACGGGCTTGACAAAATTGGTTGAAGACTTTTCGGAAGGAATGTAAGCGTCACCAGGGTCAGACAACCACATGAGATGAGGTCAAGAATATTCAATCAAACATCCTTGATTTTGTTCGTTGAAATCAGACTGCGTGTGATTCCGGTGAAATCAATCAATCAATACTGAAGATCAATATTAATATTCGTCCCATGCACTCGATTGTTCTGTTCCCTAACTCAATTTTCCTCAACACTTCTTCGTAGATCGTTTGGATTTGCATGCAGATGCAGTTACAGCAAACCCTTAACCCACCATATAAGCTGGGGCTTGTAAATATAATTCAGAATCGCATAATCGCCGATGCTATATGCGAATACATTGGCTTCAATAGCTCGCCACTTTTGTGCAATTGAAGTTCCAGTTATTTTACGAGCGCTGCGTTCATCATAATGAGGGAATCCCAGGAAAGCATGTGCGGTTAGATTTAACTTCACATCATTTTATCCCATGCCGCAACTACTTCAATATTAAATAAATACAGAATGGCCGCTCAATTGCCCATCAATTTTAAATAAACTGGAAATTATCCAGCATTCCAACTTGTCAACGTAAATTTGTAATTACACGTGAGGATCTGTAACTGTTGCATGTACTGATAATCAGATGACGAAATTAATCGCAAATTACTGCATATTACTGCATAATTCCTATGAGTTTGTACGAATGACATGTGAAAGTTAATTACTCACGGAGCCGTAGAGCAGACCGCAGGAATCCATGCAGAGATAGAGACAAGTAGCAACGCCTTGAATTCGTAGTTGCCCCCGAGACACCGACGTCCTTTGGAATATCGCTAAAATCAGAAAAAAAAAAGATATCTATGTTAAAGTATCAATTGGTATTAATACCTCCTAACACATCTAAAGGTGAACTCTTACGGTGGCATTCCCATATCAACGGAATATGTTTAGTATCAACATAAATGAATTTACCCAGTAATTCGCTCGTCATGAGTATCTGGCAGTTCATTGGAAATTTCTAATTAAAGAAGAACTACGTCTGTACGCAATTAGATATAGTAATTAATGCGAGCGTTGCTTAAATTACTGTTTATCTGTCCTCCTTTATGATAGAGAACAAAAGCGAAGAGACTCTGATAATTAGCGATATCATCCAACATGGGACTGAGATTGCTTTTAGTTTGTTTAAATTGTGGATGAATAGTTGATGGTAAATAACCATCATAAGTTCTGGTCATGTCCGAAGGAAATGGCCACCAATATCGAGGCGCATTTTATTAAATGATAGCTCGGCATTCAAGTCTAATCTACATATTTAGCCTTTTGCCAATTAAAAATAGCATGTGGAGATTCATATGCGCATCTATAGAATTGAAGACTCTAGAGCGCTCAGTCTTATTTTCCTGATGCTCAGAAGTTAACGACCTCAGTTGTTAATGAACCACGACTGTTCTAATTAGGTTTGATCGTCTCGTGTAATTTTTCAACTCATAAATCACCAGAGCTCCTTCATCTTACGATTAAAAATGTCTCTTAACCGAAAAGTATTGAATCGCTCCTTTCCATGTTTTAGCTTGACATGTTTTCTGACAATCTGAGAATTTTGTTGAGTAATTATCATGAATTTAGGTAATTAAATTTCATTGGCTATTTGCATAGCAGAATGAACTCGGCAATTTCAGGTGTTTTCTCTCCGATGTATACGGATAATCGTCATGCAATATTCATTAAGGATTAATCAAGACAAGTGAGGTAAAATCACGAGAGCACAATCAGGTATTCAGCAGAGTCATTCTGCTTATCAAGAAATTACGACTGTGTCAAGCATCCCAATGGAAAAATATGGGATTTGTCAGGTGATGAACATGGAGTGCAATTATATCTATATGTTAATAATAATTAATTTGTTAGAAGTGTTAAGAATGTGGAAAGAATGCCGATTTTTAGCGATCTGTAAGAATTATTCAAACTGGTAGTTGGTAATTTCAAAGCTGTGTCGCGAAAAGGCCAGTAACCCTGGGTTATGTCACTTGGTCACGTCGTCTTCTTCCTCGGCCACAACCAGAAATAGACACCGGTACAAGTCTTCATGCGTAATAAAGTATGTCTGTTCCCTTTAAGAGGTGTCTCATGTCTCAATTGTCTTTGGAGATCAATCAGAAACGTGTGCTTATGCAGTCGCTAAAAATACCTTTCCTCAATGGAATGAACGTAGAAAGTCGATTATATTCTGACCTTCCCACCACGATTATGACTCCTAAATCCCAAGATAATACAATTGACTATTCGCATTTTCATCGTCATCTCATCTTCATATTATCAATTTTAATAACCAGAAATCCTAATAAAATGAATTTTATTCCACTATTTTAAGTATTTTACGTTTCATCTGCTATTTAATCTATGAAATTTATCAAAACGCTTCCTAATATGAACTTGAATTACCCTATCAAATGCACACATTACTTTAATTTAATATGCATCCGCAAGAAATAGCACAATCGGTACCCGTCAACATTCTGATATTATGCAAATACCCAGAGCAGTATTATAATCTTATTCACACGGTAATATCAGTATCGTCACGCATGGGTTAAAATGAGGTACTCTCTCTCAGTACAGTAACAATCTTCATACCAATACATATCAAGATGAAAGATATAATAGCCTGGAGTGTAAAGCCGAGACTCCAGAATCCACGTATGGTATTTACCATCACAAACGATCTGACATGTATAAGATACCGATCTCACCCGAGCTCCCGACTAATTTGTGTTGCTAAATGGCCTAGCACAAATCGCGTCAAAACATTCTGGGTTGGGATCGCTCTAATCTCAGAGTCCCTTTATTTAGTTTTTATTTTAACGCCACCGATCTGAATATGTAAATTACGTCGCTGAAGGAGTCTTGCAAATATTTAACGACCCCCTGGACCTGCGGTCCCAGCTCTCTACCCAAAAAATTTCAGGACATCTTATTCTCCTTTTCTGGTTTCTTTCGAAAGCGAATGTACGACTGTACGATGTGTGGCTCAGCGTGGTGTCATGCATCGTTGAGGCCCGAAGAGGATGAGGTGGATGTAAAGAACGGAATTTCACTTGGAAAAGGTATGAGCACAGTTATAGCCCTTAAGTCAAGAGATATAATAAACGCTGATTTAGATGGCGCATCAGTGTCCAATGGTGTGAGGCATAATGACGTTAAACATTTGTTCCTGAGGCGGTATATCTTCGGATCATCTACCAAATATTCACCAGAGAAATTATGTCCAAATATTCACATTTCATTTCATGAATTCATTAAAAAATTTGACAAAAACCGCTCCCCACTTGAGATTTCGATGATTCTGTGACATTTCATGACAGTTTCAACCGTCTTCCAGATTTAAATGACTTTAGTGTGGAATTTTCGCATCGAGTCGCAAAATCGAAGAAAAAAAATCGACGAATTTGATTAAACATCTGCCTACACGTGTAGTAATGAGTTATACACTATCCAGTGGTTCGCCGTATGGCGTCGAACCCGGGGATGTTAATTCCCCGCTGTTCCACAACCCTTTAGTCTAGTCAGCGAGAAACTATTTCCACTACGTTGTCTAATCAGTCATGTTCTGGTGCATATTAACGATCACCCAGGGCGATCGAGCCTAATCCAGTCATAAATTAAAATCAATTGTCTTTCTCTCAACGAACTCCCTCCATTTACTTTTACATTATTTACCAGACATCCGTTGTAAATACTCAACAAATTATTTGATTTGGTAATCATCACAGCAATTAACTATTTCAGTACACAACAATCGGCAGATGTTCTTAAAACTCTGCTAGCTCTCAAATCCCATGAATCCCATCCCTTCTATACAATCTAAAAATAAAATGACAAGTACTCAAGGACAAATCAAACCAAGGGTGTAAATTCATTTGAATATGATTCAACCCTTGAGAATCCGATGAGTAATGATCATGTTGGGCAATCAGAGTATGCGTTATTCTTCTTTTCTTTTATTTAATTTTATTTGGCCTTCATATGTACTCTTATTGAGCACCCACCCCCGCACTCACTTATTCGTGTTTTACCCTGGCCACCTACTCGTTATGTCGATCCGTCTTGTCGATAAACACAGAATGATTTAGCATTCGTACGTGCGGTCGGAATAACCTCGGCAAATGGTGAAGAATAAGAAGGTGCGAAACTTTTCAAGCTAACTAAGGACCACAGGCATAAATTACTCCGATGAATTTACTCCTGAGGTTAAAGAACCATCCCAAAAACCGGATACGTAACCGCATCGCTTTCACTGCATTATGCAGTTCAAAAAATACTCAAAACTGATAAGCAACGAGGGGCCCTTAGTATCTTGATCAGGACTGAATTACAATCGTAAGGTCAGCCTTCATTATTGAACTCTTCAACTTGATCACATCGAGGAATGATCTGTGGAATTAATGTACATTATATTACCGTTTCGGGTATAACATTTTCCAAGACCCAAAATTCAAATTTAATTCAAAATCAAATAATTAAAATTTCGATGACTTTGTGGATGGAATTTGTAAAAATTCCCTACAATTTTCCGACAAATGTCCGATTATTAAAGTCAAGCAGTTGGAAAGTAACCGTGATATCCTTGATATCTGAAAGAAAATCTTGAGATCGGCTCTCGCAATTCTATTTAGTTGTCGCCCTTTTCCTTAATCCCCATTTCACGTATTCAATTTATCATGTAATTCAGAACCGGTTCACTTCGAAAGTGATTACACTCTGATCGTTTCTAAAAATCATGGTAAAAATTATCCGTCAATTTCGTATTATTAATGAAAATCATCATTATAAATTATTCATTAGCGCCTGTCAGTCGCCGGGAATCTAATGATTTTAAACGCGACACACGTTTACCAGCACCATCAATCGACGTATCACTCGTCTAGAACCAATGATTTTCCCGCGATAAATTAACATCATGGGTGATCATAGCTAAGCAACCACTGATTAATGTGGGGACTAATTTCATTCAGCAAAGATTAGGAATTGCGGTTCACTTATTGACAAAGAAGTCTTCATGCCACTAGGACTTCTAAAGAAAATGGTAACTAATAGAAATTATTCTCAATTTGACGAAATAAATATTCAGTGCACATCGAATTATTTTTTACATTTTTCATAAAATATTGGCGTGTGAAATAAATTCACAGAAAATTTTATCAATCAACGCGAAGATATTTTAAAGAACGTCGGAAGTATTTGAATTTTTTTTTTAGATAATTCTTAGCGCGACACGGACGCGAAAAATTCAGGGGAAAATTTTTAATAGAGCAATACTGGATCGAAGCACTTCTCATCGTGATCAAATTATTTTAATGAATAATGTAATGAATGCATTGCGTTGTTTATCTACATGAGAACATGGTCTCAGTTTTACGTGACAGATTTGAATCTTTCTGCGGTATATTTTTGCGGTTGAATCTGATTTCATAAAGTTTTTCTCACGCTAGTTACGAGCTGAAAAATTGTCTTCAAGAGATATTTAAAATTGTATACAAAATAATCTCTAGATTTTGATTTTGAACAACTCGATTCATTCGTCGAGCGATATTGTGACATTTTTTTTTCAGAACTGCCTCTCACGATTTCTCAACAATAAAAATGAAGGAACTGCGTGGTTTCGTCCATTTGGAGTACTCTGTCTTTTATACGATGATATTTTTGCCAACAGATGAGACTCCAGATTCTCCAGGAATCCAACAGCAATAAAATTAAAAATATACTACCCTTGAATGATCTGAGAGTAGAAGCAAAGTGCACCTTAAAATGCAGTCTATTCCCCCGGTTATGA